ACGATCAAGTCCTCTGAGATTCCCATTTTCCTCACAATTTATTGTGAGCCAAACAGTCAAATGCCTTTGCATAGTCAAACACAGATAGACCTTCTGGTACTCTCTGTTTTCTGCCAAGATCCATCTGACATTAGCAATAATGTCTTTAGTGCTACAACCTCTTCTAAACCCAGCCTGTATTTCTGTTAGTTCTCTGTCAATGTACTGTTCAAGTCTTTTTTGAATAATCTTCAGCAGTATTTTGCTAGTGTGTGATATTATTGATATTGTTCGATAATTTCTACACTCTGCCTGGTTAGTTTTTTGGTTTGTTTTGTTTTTTAGGGGCAAAATATGGATCCTCCAGATTTCTTGGCACAATTTGGTGAAAACCTGCAGGGCAGCATCTGTTTGCTGAAATATGTCAATTGGTATTCCATCAGTTCCTGGGGCTTTATTTTTGCCAAGTTCTTCAGAGCAGCCTCACTTCCTCCGTCATCACCATTGCCTCTTACTCAGATGCTGATTCTTGAAATTCATCAGTGTCAGCCAATTCTTTTTGGTACAATGACTCTATATTCCTTCCATCTGTCTTTACATAAATCTTTTATTTGCTCATAATTATTCATTTTGTATTAATGCTGCTTAGAAACTTATTTAACAATATTCTCTAATTCTAGTTTCTCTGTCCTTACTGATGCCATGTTTGTCTTGCTCTTCCGTCATCCACTGTCCCCTCTAAGTGCACATTGACACAATCCAATCCAGAACAAGTGAGCTTCTATCAGATTTCTCAGTGCTAGTGCTGTTATTTTCTCTAGTTTGACATCCCAGAGACCCTATCTTCTTTGACTTCTTAGAAATTAGACTACTTGGTCAATAGGTAACTTCATGACAGATGGAAGAAAGACTGAAGTTGTCAACAATTTCATCTCATTTGGATCACAGTCAACATCCATGGTACCAGCAGTCAAGAAGTCAAAAGAAGTCATATTACACTCAGAAAATCTGCTCAGAAGGACTTCTCCAAGGTGCTAAGGAGCAACAACATCAGTTTAAAGTAGACCTGACTGAAACCATGATCTTTCCAATTACTTGCTTTGCATATGAAAATTAGACAATGAATAAGGAAGATAGGAAAATCAATGTCTCTTTGAATTGTGGTGCTGATGAAGAGTACTGAATATCCCATGGACTGCCAAAGGAATAAATATGTTTTGGAGCAAGTGCAGCCAGAGTGCTCCTTAGAAAGCAAAGATGGTGAAACTGAAACTGTGTCTCACACACTTTGGGTATGTTGTTAGGAAGGACCTTGGAAAAAGATATCATGCTTGAAAGGTGGAGAGTCAGTGAAAGAGAGGAAGACCCTCAAGGAAATGGATTGACATGGTGACTGTAACAATGGGATTAGGTACATCAGAGATAATGCAGATGGGGAAAAAATAGGACAAGGTCCAGATTCTTTGTTAATAGTGTTGCTATGAGTTGTAATCCACTCAACAGCACCTAGCAATAAAAAATAACAACAAGGTACTTCTGAGAAGAATGGGAATCCCAGAACATTTGATAGTGCTAATGCGAAACCTATACTTGGACCTGGAGGCAGTCATCAGAACAGAGCAGGGAGACACTACATGGTTCAAAATCAAGAAAGGGGTCCGTCAGGGATGTATTTTGTCTCCATATCTTTTCAATCTGTATGCAGAACAGATCATCCAAGGCGCTGGGCTGTACAAGAAGGAATGTGGCATCAGGATTGATGGAAGAATCGTCAACAACCTGCCTTATGCAGATGACACAACCCTGCTCATTGAAACTGAGGAGGACCTGAAGCACTTGCTGCAGAAGGTCAAGGACTGCAGTCTTCAATATGGATTGAAGCTCAATATCAAAAAAACTAAGATTCTCACCCCTGGGCCAATTGGCAGCATCAGTATGGACGGTGAAGAGATTGAGATAGTTAACAGTTTTAGTTCAGTTGGCTCCACACTCAACACTCTTGGTAACAGCAGCCAGGAAATCAGGAGACCAATTGCATTGGGAAAGTCAGCTGTGAGGGACCTCCAGGCTATAGTCTTTGCAATTACGTGCTATGCATCGGAGAGTTGGACAGTGAATAGGGATGATAGAAGGAGAATTGATGCCTTTGAGTTGTGGTGCTGGAGAAGAGTATTGTTTATACCATGGACTGCTAGGAGAGCAAACAGGTTTGTGCTGGAGAGGGTGAAGCCAGAATGTTCCCTGGAGTTAAGGATTCTGAAGCGTCATCTGACATACTTTGGACATGTTGCAAGGAGGGATTGGTCCTTGGAGAGGGACATCGTGTTTGGGAGAGTGGAGGAACGGTGCAGGAGAGGAAGACCCTTAATGAGATGGATCGATTCTGTGAGTGGAGTGGTGGGAATGAATGTGTTTGAGACAGCAAGATTGGCACAGGATAGAATGGCGTTTAGGGCTCTTGTACATAGGGTCTCTATGAGTCGCAAATGACTCAAGGGCACATAACAACAACAACAACTTCTTGAGAAAAAGACAGTAAAGATTAAAGCCTTGGAAACCTAATGGATAGTCACTATAGACAGAATCAATTTGACAACAGGAAGTAACATATTTCTTGACAAGATAGATGGGCACAGTGGCTGCAGCAGTGGACAACAGAGATTGTGAACATGGCTCTGGACCAGGTAGTTTTTCATTCTCTCATACAAAGTGAGTCAGAGATAACTCAACAGCACCACCTATCGACAATGTACTTCTACCCACAGATTACCAGAAACCACTGCCCTTTAAATGACTTTGAGGCTATATATAGACTTCAGCATCCTTTAACGATCATAAGCTCCTGAATTCCCTGATGTTGAACCAATACCAGAATAGACCTGTTACCAGTGCTTTCCTTAGGTGAGTGGTCCAAGTCCTTAGAACTCTTGTCAGGTTACATCATCAATAACTGACAGGGATCTTGGAAGAAGAAAAAGTGGCTTCCATCCTTTAAAGACGTATCTAATATATTTTTAATGGAGCCCATAGAATTTTAATCCAGTGTGGTGAATAAAAATAGATCAAAGTCTATGTTAGGATGAAAGACAATAATGAGAAAAGAGGGGAAATGCAGACAGAAGTCAAGGGTTGCAGAGAAAGGATACAAGGGAGACAGAGACAGATGAGGCAAGAGGAAGACACAGTGAAGAGAGAAACTGATTCTGAGAGAGAAACGGTGACTCAAGAGAGCATGGATAAACGGAAAGTCAGAGAGAGAATTATAAAGACAAGTGAGAGATGTGGAGAATCAGACTGAAGTGGACGATGAGAGGACAAATGAAGAGTGCTCAAGACTTGTTCCTCAGATAGAGCAGGGGAAGAGAGAGGAGGCAGCCCCCCACTCCTTCCTGTCTCCCTTTCCCAGCATTCATCTCTTCTGAGAAAATGAACTAAATAAACCAAAACCCCACATATAAATAACATTCACTTTATTCTAACTGGGATTTCAAGCTCATTGGGTGTGTTGAAAAAGGACAGCCCTCTGCCTGCCCCACATTCTCAAGATGCTACACAACCTTTGCTGGCCAAGAAAGTGACCTAGCAGGACAGAGGCTACAAAACCAGAAACCTAGCTGACTTCACACCTCCTTGCTCCCCTCATTTTCAAAAGCCTGTGAGAAGTATTTGAATTATTGTTTCTTGTCCTTGTTCAGAATGCACTCAGTCTCCCCTGAAAAAAATGCCCTCATCCTTCAAGTCCCAACCCTAAAGTATTTCAGGACACAATCCTGGCCAATTCTGTGCCTGTGTTATGCAGCACGGGGATACAAGTCACCAGTAAGTATCTATTAAATGAATAACATTCAAAGAGTCTAGACAAGTGTGCATACATGTAGCACACACATATACGTATTAACTTTGATAAAGAAGTTTGCTCATAGTATTAAGCTAAAATGTTCTCCTAGTATGTTCTGTCTATTCTGTTTTCCTGCAGTGTTCTTAACCTTAGTAATAACATCGCCATCCAAACTATTCAAGTCAGCTGCAAATTCACTGAGGGCACTGGTGGTTCAGTGGTAGAATCCTCACCTTCCGTGCTATCTCTGATCACTGGCTAGTGCAATCCAGGCACAGCCAGCACTCTTACCAGTGAAGTTTCCACATTGTTATGACACTTAAAAAGTCCATCACAGCTTCCAGACTAAGAGTGAACTACTTCTGAAAAGAAGCCAATGACCACAGTGGTTAGATTCTACTGCGCATAGGTTCTAAGGATGATAATAACAATTCTGTTATCTTGTTAGTCTTATGGATCTTGTTAGTCTTATCTTTTAGTCTTCTCTTTTAAATGTTTCCTTACTTATCCCTTTTCCCATATAACCACATGCAAGAAGAAAAATCTCAAACCCTCTCAGATGAGTATCTCCAATCTTTTCTATCTCTTATTGTTGCCAGAGCCTTTTTATAAGTCACATTCTCCATGAAACCTCTTCTAGGGAAATCCACAATAAAAATTTTTTATAAAACAGCTCCAATTTCCTTCAGAAATAACATCATACTCCCATGTAGGCACTGAAAGATTTCCAATTAGATCCCAATTCATCTTCCTAAACGTATTTCCCACCTCTTTCTCACCATTCCATCTAACTTCTCACCATTCCCTAAAGCCTCCTGCTTTTCTCCTCCATCAGCCCCCTATCCACTGGATTCACACTTCCTTCACCTCTTCCATCTTCATTTGCAGACCTTTGAAAATTCAGCTCAAATTGCATTTTTTTCCTCAACCTACTCACCAACTCCAATTAGAATGAATCATTCCCGTCATCAGGTTTCTGTGACACTCGAAACATATATTTCATATAAGCTGTATTACAATGCACAACACATATTTACCTATTTCTTTTCTTTCCCTCCATTAAAGATTAGAGAGCTAATCAAGCACAGATGCCGTCTCACTGCTGATTACAGACATCCTAGGACTTAGCACAAGGTGCACATAGTAGGTTCTCAACAAGTGTGTGATAGGTGAGCAAACATACCTTTCTGGGCTTTAATTAGTTGTTTTCCGATTTCTAGAGTCACAAAGGCAGTGCCATTTAGAACAATGTCAGTTATGGCCTTCCAACCATTAGGAGAGAGCCTTTCGGTGGGAGAAATAAAATTCCCTGCTGCATTGTTTATCACAACCTAATAAATGGATAAGACAAGTTATCTCTCGATACTATTTGGTATGGAAGAACATTTTCTCCCAAGAACTTTTACTTTTGAAATGTATTCATTTTGATGATAATACAATAGAACTCATTTCATAATCAACTTATAAAACAATACCATGAGGTTTGGTTTGCTTTTATATTTTTGAGCATCTGGAAACCTCCTATGTTATTGCTGTTGTTACGTACTGTTGAGTCAGGACCAACTCATAGATGACCCTCCAGGGAATTTTCAAAGGCTTAAGTTGCAATGGAGGAGACTGCCCATCTTTCTCCCTCTAGCAACTGGTAGATTTAAATCATGTGCGCTGGAAGTGCAACTTCTTGCCACTAAGCCACCACCTACCAAAATTTCAAATCTTAATCAGGAAGAGTTCACTCTAAAGAAAAATAGGTTAAGCACAGCCACCATATATGACTGATGATTTCAGCTTGGTGCCATATACGGCTAATTGTACCAGCAGAAAGACTGATGGTTCAAACCCATTTAGAAGCACCTTAAAAAAGAGGCCTTGTAAGCTGCATCTAACATCAAAGTCTTAAAAACTTCTCTGCATGTATCAGGTCACTGTGAGTCAGGAACATTTCAAAGGCACTAATACCATCAACTACCACATGACTCCTCTTTATTTTAAGAATCTCAAGAACATTCGGTTTGGAGTTCCCAAGTCATGTTAAATGGTTAACATTCTCAGCTCAAAATCTTGGTGATTCAAATGCACTAAGTGGTGGCTCAGAAGAAAGGCCTGGCTATCTCTCTCCAAAACATCAATCCTTGAAAAACCTTCTCAAGCAGAGTTCACCAGGACTCAGAACTGAAGGAAAGGTAACCTACTTATTGGTGGACATTTTTACTTAACCTGTCCAATAAAACTGGGAGATAGGTAAGTGTCCTTCATCATCAATAAACTTTCTGCTTTATTATTGGTCTCTCTAAAAACTAAGGCATAATTGCTCTCTCGGAGGTACTGGAGAAAATTACCTCCTAGTACGTAAACCAAACAATAGCAAAATACCCACATATATCTCACTTCTTGCAAGGAGAGAGCTACCCATAGTTTTCTTTGTGTTGGTTTTCTCCACTGATTGATATAACCAAAAGTTATTTGGAAAATCAAAAATTATCTAAATTAGGTTCTGTACCCTTGGGGTAACGGTTTGATTATTTTACAGCCATGTGAAATTTGCTCTATATGGCAGCAAATGAATGTTTAAGTACTCCTGAAAGGAAGCGGTTTTGCCGTCTGCCTCATTTGTATCCTTCTTCCTGCAGAGCAGGCACCTGAAAGCACAAATTTCTTAGCAACGAGAAATAGATGCTTCTCAACACAGCACTTTCTCATATAACATTTTGTTTCCTTAAAGCATCCCAGTGGGAGTTCTTCATATCAGATGTCTCACTTTGGCCCCATCACCAGGACACTTACATCAGGGAGTCCTGCGACTCTGATCAGCTCCGACACCGCTTTCTGAACCATAGCAGGATCCCTCACATCACACTGAACTGCATGCACCTGCAAAGGAACAAAGAGCAAAAGAAGCCATATTTTCCAGATTTCCAAAAATCAAAACATGAGAAAATTATTTCAATGTTATAATTGCAAAATTTAAGGGTTTTTTCTAACGTACCTTGTTTCCAGTTTGAGAAGAAATTTCTTCTGCAGTCGCTTTCAAAACATCAATCTTCCTAGAAATACACAAAACTTATGTCACATGAGTTTTGAGATGACTTCAGATTATATTTTTTTCTTTTTAATTAAAAAAATTAAGGAATTCAGAAAATCAGTAGCACAAATAAGTCATTTCCTTGAGAAGATATGTTTTACCTACAGACAAATTAGTAAAAACAAATGTATTTTCCAAAGATTAAATTAAAACAATTTATATATATTTATATATGCCTGACATTAATTTATTCAATTTGTCACTTCTAAATCAGTTACTTTGTTATTGTCTAGTCACAAATATAAAATCACTTCATTAAATACAATACTTTCTAAGTTTTAAACTATATTTATGAGTCTGAATGCAATCAGAGCCTCATGCCCTTAATAGGAAAATAAACCATGAGTATAAACTGTGAAACATTACATTGAGAAGATTTCTTTTTAATTACAAAATAAAAATCTTTCTAACTGATCTGAATTTTTTAAAAATCTGAAAAAAATTTTATGTGGCTCTTTATATGAGTAACACAATGACTATAATTGAGATCAGCTCTGATTGGTTTGGCTTACCTAAAAACTTTCCATGATAGAAAATTGGAGGAATGCGTAGAAACTATATTTGGAAAGGTTTTACATTTTATTTTTATTTATTCATTGTTGCACATTTTCTTCCCTCTCCCTTTCTCCTCCTTCACCCAGTCCACTTGGCAATGCACCTCTTTTTCCAGATTGTTCTCATACATATAATACTTAATCATATATTCCTTTCAGATTGTTCTTCCCCTTATCTATGCCAGTGCAGTGTTCAGCCACTCTTCCTATTCTCCTCCAAACCCCCCATGTCAGTTCTACTCTGTAACAGCAGTTATGCAGTTATGCATCCATTTGTGACTGAGACACTTCACTCAGTAATGCCCTATATGCTCACACACATTGTGTTAGTGTTTTATGGGTTCATTGTTTTCAGTGCTGAATAATATTCCATTGTGTGATGTTCAAAATCTCTAGCTCTTAGAGAGATGCAAATCAAAACAACTATGAGATATCTCACCTGAGCAATAATAGCAAAGTTCAACAGGGCAGCAAACAATAAATGTTGGCAAGGTTGTGGTTGTTGTTGTTGTTATGTGCCATCGAGTCGTTTTCGACTCATAGCGACCCTATGCACAACAGCCCTAAACCCTGCTCTATCCTGCGCCAACC